GACTGAAACTTATTTGTTATCATCATGATTTGGGCTGATTGTCATATTTGGGCTTCGTGCCAACTATTTGAACCCTTCGGGGATTTTTATCACTATTTCGTCACTGTTTGACTTATTACTTGAACTCAGTCCTGTTGCTATCTACTTTTTTACAAACTCAACCACTTTTACTCAGTTTTGATATTTAAATGATATTTCTAAATGATGTTTTGGGCTGAGAACTACTGTTTTACTAATGCCCGAGGGGCTTGTGATAATTTTCGGACTGAGTGAGGCCGAGGGCCATATGTGAGGATATGTTGAGTGATATGAGGCCGAGGGCCTGAGATATTTTTATACGCCACGAGGTGGCTTGAGTGATGTGAGGCCGAGGGCCTAAGATATTTTTACACGCCACGAGGTGGCTTGAGTGATGTGAGGCCGAGGGCCTAGATTTGATGTCACGAGATGGCTTGATATTGCGCTTGGGCCGTAAGGGGGCCCTCCCGGGGTGTGCACACTCCCAGTGAGCACGGGTACCCATTGTGATCATAGAGTGAGCCCGAGGGGCTGAGAGTGTTCTGAGAGTGAGCCTGAGGGGCTGGTACTGTTCTATGTGTTTACTTTATTTCCATTTGTCTGCCATTACCTGTTGATTGTGTTACTTTATGTGTTATCTTCCTGATTGTCTAGCATTACCTGTTACATTGAGTGTTGAGCCCGAGGGGCGGATTTCTGTGCTTATATGCACTAATTGTTTTGTATTCATTTGCATAACTATTGAAAAAGCCATTTTCAAAAGAGGATTAAACTGAACTAAGATATTTCTAAAGATTTCACAGTTTCATTGCTTTTCTCAAAGGTTTTACACTGCTTCTATACAACATGTTGGTTTGCCTTACATGATTTCTTACTACTCACTTGTTATTTACCTTTATTACTCACTGAGTTGGAGTACTCACTTTACTCCATGTACCTTGTGTACAGATGCAGGTATTTATACACCTGGTAGTGGGTTTTGGCTAATCGGTGGCAGAGTTATCGGAGTTTAGCAAGGTGGCTGCCAGCATTCGCAGCACCGTGTTCTCTCCCTTTTTGCTCATCAGTCCTGTTTTTGTATATTTCGGACCTTGTAGTTGTATTTATGTTCTAATAGATGCTCGTGACTTATGACACCCCGGTTAGGGCTGTGTGGGGTTGGGTTTCCATTTTGTTATCTCTATTTCCGCTAAATATTACTATTGAATCATGTTTGAAGTATCTTTATGTTATTTAACTGTTTAAAAGGGTGAATTGTGTAAATTGGTTGGCCTTGTCTTCACGAGTGGTGCCATCACGACTGGGTTCGGGGTTAGGGTCGTGACACTCGACTAAGTTCGAATGATGTTATGGGACGTGTTGGTATATTTGTTGAGATTTTTGAGGGCCTCGGGTGGATCTCGAAAGGTTAACGGATCAATTTAGACTAGAAGAAAAGCTGCTGCATTTTTCACAGCAGCATGAACAGTAACTCGGGTGAACAGTACTCGGGTGAATAGTAAAATGCGTGAGCAGTATTTAAATAAATCCTCCGCGACCATTAAACCCTTTTACACCATTTTTTGAAGGGGAAAAGAGCTTTGAGGCGATTTTTAAGAGATGAAATCATTGTTCTTCATTGAGGTAAGGATTTTGGACCCTAAAACTCGATTATTTGTGATTAAGGAACAAAATATCAGTGTTTAATATGAAAATCAGTAGAAAAAGGTGGAGTTAGGGCTTGAGATTATGAGACCTTCTAGGGATGATTTGAGGGGTCAAACGAACTCCGATTTTCGAGTTCTTTATATGTACGGACTCGTGAGATGATGAAGGACATTTTGGTATAAAGTTTGTCCAATTCCAGGGCACGGGCATGGGGGTCGGGTTTTGACTAATTTCGGGCTTTGTGCTTAAAATCGATATTTTTCAATTGGAATTCATTCGTTTAGCATAATTTGATGATAAAAATCTGAACTTGATAGATTTGGAGCACTCAGAAGTTGGTTCGAGAGTCAAGTGTGTTGCAGAGTAACTTTTCGGGATAGTTCGAGGTGAGTAATGATTTTAAATGTTGTTCTGAGGGTATGAAACCCCGGATTACACAACGTTCGGCTGTGTTGAGGTGACGCACACACTAGATGACGAGCGTGGGGTCGTACACCGTTGGGGATTGTGACTTAGTCCATCCCGAATAACTATTTTTTTGTATATTTGGTAGCTAATTGTTTGATATTATTATACTTTGGGCTAAATGCCATATTTGGGATTCGTGCCAACTGTTTGAATCCTTAGGGTATTGTTAATGATATTTTCCTCACTGTTTGATTTCATACTTGTGCTCAGTCATGCCAGATCTTTCAATGTTTTCAAAACTCACCTATGTTAATCTGTTTTAGAAACCTTAAATGATGTTTTAAAGATATTTTGAGTTGAGCTGCATATTTTTACTATTGCCCGAAGGGCTTATGAGATTCTGACTGAGTAAGGTTGAGGGCATGTATTGTGAGGATAATTTTGGGTCGGGCTACACGCCGCAACAGTGATACACTAATTATGATAATGAGGCCAAGGGCCTGAGATTGTACGCCATGAGGTGGCTTGATATTAATATGAGGGCGAGAGCCTGTTTATGACGCCACGAGATGACTTGATATTGCGCTTGGACCGTAAGGGGTCCCTCCAGGAGTCTGCACACCCCTAGTGAGCGCGGGTACCCATTGTGACATGAGATATAGCCCGAGGGTCTGGTATTGACTGTGATATAGCCCGAGGGACTGATATTGTTCTGTGATATTGCCCGAGGGGCTGATTTGATATTATTGTGCCCGAGGGGCAGTTCTTATGTGTTTACCATTCCTAGTTGTTTTCCCTATCTATTGTTGACTGCTTAAAAAGATGTTTTTATGAGATTTCATTAATAAATTGTGTTACTGATTTTGTTATGCCTCTGATAGCTAAATATTGTGGTTAACGTGATTTTATATCGTTCAGTCTTCATTTATTCTTATTACTCACTGAGTTGGAAGTACTCACTTTACTCCATGCACCTCTGTGTGCAGATTCGGGCGCTATAGGTCCTGCTACTGAGGGTTGACTTTCCAACAGATCTTCGGAGGTTTACTAGGTAGCTGCTTGGCGATTCGCAGCCCAGTGCAACCTCCCTCTATCTTATTTCTTTTCTGATTCAGTTATTTAGTAGTGGAGTAGACTTTCAGACTGGTAGTATTGTTTTAGATGCTCATGACTGGTGACACCCCGATGTGGGTTGTGTTGGCTTTTATTTCCGCAAATTATGTTGTTAAATGCTTATTTTGGAATTTTATTTCTGATTAAAGACTTAGTAGTTATTATTTTAAATTGCTTAAAGTGAATTGGAAGTGAGTCGGCTGGCCTTATCTTCACGAGAGGCGCCATCACGACCGAGTTGGGTTTAGGGTCATGACAACCATAGTCCAAAATTTCGTACCCTGATTGTGGTACACCTCGTGTAGTTATTTTAATTGTCGAACCTTATCTAATTCCTCGGCAAAATGTCCATTAATGATGATTGGTTAGCTAAAAGCTCAATTATATTTTATATTCAGTAAGAAAATACTACTAAATTCTAGACGAAAATAGTTAGTGTGAATATATTACCTTTCATTAAATATTACACCATAGTTATAGTAGCACTTCTCTTCTCAAATGTGAGGAGTAAATGACTTTTTAGGGATACGTACATAAGGATAATTTTGAAAAAACAAATTGAATTTTTACTTGATTATATAAATAGCCATTTATTTTGGACAAAAAAAAAGTAAATTGGTCACTTATTGTGAACCGAGGAAGTACTCTTTTTTTCCCTTCATAGCATTGATGCACATAACAGCTTGCATGTCGTACTTTATGTTAGAAAATATATAGAGATTCAAAACCTAAGGAAGTTTAATGAAGCTAATTAGAAAGTGAGATGCCCGACTTTTATAGGGGAAAAAAAAGAAATCAATATTTCATACAATTGAATTACAATATTTTTTTCTTAGAGAAGTTGATGGTTTTCTTGGTTTTGATGATCAATTCCTAGATAAAAAAAGGCATTTTCTTAACCTTATCAATTATTTAATAATTATTAATACCACATTTAGTGTCTGGATTTTTATCTGAACTCATTCCTTGATATCTAATTTTTGTCCAAGATAAGATAATAACGGATAATTTGATCACAAAAACAGATAGTTCTCAAAAAAAAAAATGAAAAAGTGTTGGATGACAAAAAATTTCAAAGTCCACATAATAATCTTTGAGAAAATGACACCGTATCACCACTCTCAAAATAATAGTCGAAAAAATTATATATTTGTTGTATATTTTTTATATATACATATATTCTGTATGTTATATACAAAAATTATACATATTTTATACGATTTTTTGACTACCGAATGACGCAGACTAAAACTGAAAAAAACTCATAATCATTTGATTTTGCGAAGTCTACCTTAGCTTCATCATCATATTATGGATGGGCCTCGACATTTTCTCATAAAATTTCACCGTGTTCTTTTTAAATATTTGTGCAAAAATAATTTTATCATCAAAATTTCTCCTTCTTCCTCCTCCTTTTGCTTCTCCTCTTCCGCCTAAGCTACAAAACCACTTGGATACAGTAAAAACTAGAAGATAATGAAATATTCAGTACATCGAATGAAATATCATTTAAAATACGAAAAAGGGCTAGATATACCCTTTACTTTTATTTATTGTTCAATTCTATCCTCCGTTGTACTTTCCCCTCAAATATATCCTTACCGTCAATCAAAATTTATATTTGCCCCTATTTTAACGATCAAGACATGTGGCATCTTGTGAGAGGTTAAACTAACCCAACATTAAAAAATCCAACCTGACGCGTTACCCATGACCCGCCTGACACTATTGCCCTAACTATTGCATACCAAAACGAGGAAGAATCAGACATTATTCTGCCAACTTCAAGAAAAGAGGAAAACACCTTCTTCATCTTCAACAAAATTCAATTGGGTCACATTTCCAGTATTCCACCATAACTTTTTGACATTGAAGTAAAACATAGTCATATTTTTTATTAAAATCACATCAGAGAGACAATCTCACTATTACCAGAAGAAACCATATGAACAGGGGAACCACCAATACCATTATTAGAGAAGTTTTATTTTAGGACCATTTTCACCATCCTTTATTAACAATTTCATCTTTTTACACAAGACCCAGGACAACAATTATAAAGAGTCATTCCTTAAAAATCTTTCTCAATTTACTTTTGAAATCTTCTTTGTTGTCAGCGCCATCAAATTCCCATCATTGACAAGCTGGAATCGTCGGCGAAATTTTCGGTCAAACTCGATGGTTGTCTGGTTTGATTTTTGAAGGTGCATAGAACTTGTAAGGTGTTTCAGATTTTCTTTTGTTGCTCACCACTACTGTTGGTTCACCTGCTGATGCTTATGCATCAAATTATAATTGAATTTAAAACTACACCATAGTTGTAATCAACCAGGAAAAAAAAAAGAACGAGGAGAAAGAGTTAGGGATTTACCCAACCTCAGGTGCTCAAAACTCAACTCATGACCTCAGGATTTATCTTAGACCACCAGAGTATAGGGAAATAAAAGTCCGAAGAATAACCAGACTTTTCGTTCAAACAAAGAGCTAGAATACATACACCGGCGAGCCAAGTACCGTACCTGGTTACTCATCGGAATGAAAGGTGCAGCTATTCAAGCTAAGAGAGCTATTTGGTTTTCGGAGGTGACAAGGGCTATTCTGTTTTCTTCAAATTCGTGAAGATGGGGAATTTGGGTTTTAAATTTCATAGAGGAAGACGATGGTTATTAGATGGCCAATTTAGAGTTTTCCGTCAGCGGTGGTGGCGACGGAAGAGTATGGTAGTCTATAGTGGTGGCAATTTTCAAGGGTGGAGACTGTAGGGTCAGATTGGTTTTAATTGGTAATGGGTCGGATCAGGTCACGGATTATCCGAACGGGAGTGGGTTATTTTGTTATGGATTGGGACCTTCACTTAGCAGCCTCCACGTGGCAAGTCCGTCAAATCAGGGGCAAATTTAAAACTTTGCCAAACGGCAAGGGTAAAAATAGCCCAAAAATATAACGGAAGACATAATTGAACAATAAACGATATTAGAGGAATATACCTTACCTCTTTCCGTTTAAAATATTGTAAAGAGAATAAAATATCATAATCTTCAGTCTCCTATCGAGCTCCACTAATAATTACATAATCACAGTTTGTTGGATCCTTTTTCATGCTTGCAACATGCAGTTTTCATAGTAAAATAATTCAGATTTATCACAAGAATATTAAACATTGAAACTTGAAAAACATGGTAGATTTGTGTACCAAATTATGCCCCGAAACTATTTATGCACAAATTCCTTTAATAAAGACAATTTTTTTTGGTGAACTAGATAATTTTATAATATACCAAAATAGTTATATCATTGTTTGGGAGCCGCAGCTCCCTAATATTGCGTTAATATTGTCTTGCATTACAAGGGGGTTCACCTTGACTTTACGTACAAAAACAGTTCCTAGGATATCTGCCCACAATACCTTGTTTATAAACACCGGAGCAATTGTCAAAATTTTTGTTCTAGCAAAGGCCTTTTTCCCTGCTCCTTCCTTTGCGAGGAGGTCCGCCACCCAATTTTGTTCTCTGAAATCATTTCCCAGTGCTGAATTCCCCAGCTGCTCCATCAATGACCTACATTCAAAGATAGTAGAGTTATAATGCATGTTTTCCTCCTTTAGCATTCTTACAACCTGTTCAGAATCAATGCATATTTGAAGAGGTGTGAGTTTATGTTCGAGGGCTAATGTGAGCCCATGCCATAGGGCTTGGAGTTCAATCTCCAGGCTGGTGGTATGTGGTAAGCCTCTCATATATCATAATACCCAGTCACCCCTGCTATTCCTAATGACACCCCCAATTCCTCCTACTTTTGATTTTGGGAATGCAACCCTATCAGTGTTGAGCTTGTATGAGCCAGTAGGAGGTGGCTTCCAATTGATGTGGATTTTAGTTGTTTCACTTTTATCCCTAGGTTATACAACAACATGGTAGTATTCCGTAGCTCTAGCAATGGTTTGTTTAATAGGGACAATGTTCTTTTTATTCTCAAAAAGGTTGTTGTTTCTTGTGAGCCATAGGCTCTAAAAACAGAATGGGAGAAGGGATTTCCAGTTGATAGCATTGTTAAACTGCATATTCTTGACCTTGTACCATGTATACTTCTAGTGGATCATTGAGAACACAAGGTGTGGATGTGAGGTCTTGTTAGTACACTCCAGTGTTAAAGACTGCCAAAATGCTCTTGCATTTGAGCATTCAAAGAAGATATGGTTGATGTCTTCCACTCTAGAGGAGCAGAAACAACATATTGGGCTAACATTTAAGCATATGTTGTTTAAGTACTTGGCAGTAGGGAGTCTGTTATATTTCATCATCTAGGTAAAGAACTTAATTTTGTTAGGGAGCATTAGCTTTCAAATCCAGTTGAAGGTATCATCATGGTTGGGGTTAGAGTTCATCTCAGAACTAATCAGGTTGTAGGCAGATTTGGAGCTGAAAAAGCCCATTACCATTGAGGTTCTAGATGAGCTTATCCTAAGAGTTGGTAGAAAGAGAGATGAAGGTGGATTGAATAACATACTTAATGTCCGTGAGAATAGGGTAGTGGATAGCATCAAAGTTCCATTCCCCATTGCTGAGGATGGAGATGATCTTACTGGTCAAGTCATAGTTGTGCCAAGGCCCTGAAGGATTGTATTAATGAGTTGCATATTGGGGATCCAATTGTCAGTAAGAAAGTTGACTCTATCCCTTTTATGAACAACCCATCTAGAGGCCTTAAGACAGACCTTTTATCCTTCCTGAATACATTGCCAAGTCCTAGTTTTAGGTTTTGCTCTAGGATGGTTAACACTGCAGTGCTTTCCAATCAGTACCCTAGCCCACATGGGTCAGTGTTTTTGTAGAGTCTCCAAGCTAGACTGGTCATGCTAGCTTTGTTTTTCATATTTGCTTGTTGAAGGCCAGACCCCCACTGTTATTAGGCTTAGTAATAGTATCCCATTTAATCACGTGTAGCTTTCTTTTTTTAGCAGTTGTTCTCCATATAAAGTTCCTTTAGATTTTATCAATCTGGTTGGTGATGTGCGATGGTAACTTTATATAGCTCATCACATGGCTGGAAATGCTCATAGGCTAGATTTTGCCAGAGTTGTACAACCAGCCATGTTTAACATTTTGGTTTTCCAGCCAATCAGCCTAGTGTTCATATTGTCAATAGTGAATTGGAAATCTCTGTTGGTAGGACTTTTATGGAAGATGGGGAAGCTCATGTATTTATCAAAATCTTTGCTTTTCCTAATTCTTAGTAATGAGCTGCGTGTATTTGCCCAATCCCCATGATAGTTAATTGAAAAAATAACCTTACATTTTTTAAAGTTGACCTTTTGGTCGGATGCACTATTAAACTCCTCTAAGGTAGCCAGGATTGCTTCATAACTCTTTTTATTGGCTCTATCAAATAGGGTAAGATCATCAGCAAAGAACATGTGAGAGATTTTAGGGTCATTCCTACTGATGGTAATTGGAAGCCAGTCCTTTCTTAGGATTGCCTAGTCAATATTCCTTGATAGCCCTTCCATGCAAATAATGAATAGGTAGGGAGAGATGGAGTATCCCTGCCTGATACCTCTAGTAGGGTTGAAAGGCTCAGTTTGGCTTCCGTTGAACAGGATGGATATGGAGGTAGTGGAGATGCAAAAGAGGATCAGGTTGATCAATTTAAGTGGGAACTTGAAGAATGTGAGGGAATCCCTGATGAAAGACCACTCAAGTCTGTCAAAGGTTTTTTCTAAGTCTATCTTGAGGATCATGTTAGCATTTTTCGCTTTCATCTTTTGGAAATTGGTGATATATTCATGGACAATTATGGTATTGTCACAGTCCTTCTGTTAGAGAGGAAACTGGCCTTAGATGGCCCAATAATTGTCTGAAGGAATGGTTTGTGTCACGACCCAATTCCCCGAATCCGATCGTGATGGCGCCTCTCGTGAAGATAAGGCCAGCCAGACCAAAACAGACCAGCTCTTTTAAACAGTTAAATACCATAAGTAGTTCTAAAATGTGATAGTAATAATCATAATTTACAGAATTAACGTTAACAACAGTAGAAACTATCCCGACATAGCCCAAACTGGGGTGTCACAAGTCATGAGCAACTAAGAAATCCGGATACAAGTCTACTGAACACTAAATCTGATACAATAGTTCTAAAAACATGAAAATGATAAGATAAGGGAGGCACGGGGCTGTGAACGCCAACAGCTACCTCGTAGTCTCTGAATCACTGCCTGGACTGGAAGAATCAGCATTCAGAAGCGGACTCTGTGATGCCTGAATCTGCACACATGGTGCAGGGAGTAATGTGAGTACTCCGACTATTATAAATAATGGCTGAAAGTATGAAAATACGTAAAGGCACAAAGCAATTCCATATCAAGCAGTAAAATCACTTAAAGCAGTAATCAGTGATGAAATCAAATGATATCCCTTTTTTTTAAACAAGTAAAACAGGTAATTTAACAGGAAAATAACAAGTAGAAATCCGCCCCTCGGGCACAGTATCAATCGCTTAGAACAGTATCGGCCCCTCGGGCTCACTCTCAGTACAGTATCAGCCCTTCGGGCTCAGTATCAATCACTTAGAACAGTATCAGCCCCTCGGGCTCAC